TGCACTAAGGTTATGAAAATGTATTATACACATGTCGATATTATTTATCTTATCATTTTGGTAATAAAAGAACAGGATGAATTTAATGCTACTATCTACATTGTCAAAATAATAGTTGTTTAGAAGACAATTTTAAAAATAGCAATTTTGATAAATGCTTTAAAGCATTGATATGGGTTAATGTATTCTGTACTTGGAAAAATGCATTTGTAGAATACACATATCTTAGTAGAATTTCTTTGATTTTGAAAAATATTTTTTCAAACTTCAACAATTCTTTTCTGCAATTTTTCTTGCCAGTTTCACAATAAAATTTTGACAAAGTGCCACCACGATAGTGCAAAATATATGGCTTTATATATGATGTATTTTCATATAATATCTTTCAGGTCATAAAATTCTTCATGTCAAACTCATATGATAGACTATGTCATGTTTCCAACCAATATTTATTATAACTACTGAGCATATCCAAACAATAAAATGTTAAATCGGAACATATTTATAGTTAAAATATCAAATATAAATTTTTCAAAAAAATATACGTTATCGAAATCGAAATAAAAAATTGTTGTAAATATTACTATTTAGTGAATAAACGTAATTAAAATGAAGTTAATATTTTTCTTTTTTAAATACTTACTCCAGGTTCGGGACATTGATTGATTCCACCGGCTATGTAATCCATATCTCGAGTTAGAACACTGCCATTGTAGCACATGTGGATGTTTTCAGTGAATCTTTGTTCTACTTCAGCTACAGCATAAACACACATGGCAGAATTAGGAGACGTACGATATGTATGATCTTTACTGACAGCAAATACACCAACGAGAACATCGACTCCTGGTTCTATATGTAAATCAGCAGCAAGATCGGCCCCGGCACGCACCAAACTAGCATCTTGCAACAGATTATAGTCTGTTCCATCAGATCCTAGGCACTGCAAGGTCACTTCAGTATAAGTGTTGTAACCCGCATCTGATATACAAACTCTCGACAAACGGGTAATGTAACCCCATTCCTCCAAAGCTCTCAGATGTGATTTACGTTGAGTTGTTGCAAAGTATATAAAATCACCAGAGCTAAAGCCATAGACATAATGCACCAGATAGTAATCACGTAGATGAAAGCTTATATCAACTCGAGCGATTGAAGAGAAAGATTTCTCTACCACTGTAAAAAGACGAGCCGGATCAAGACTTCGACTGCAAATTGCTGGGACCATATCACGATATGGTCCTAAACGACTATTGGTAGTAGCCACGTATAGAACTCTCGATGGATATCCGGCGTATCGAGCAGGTCCTATGAAGGCAAATGTTGAGGAATTTTCATCGTTGGATGATACAGGAACGGGCACTAGGTCCTCGTAATTCGAAATATCTTCGAGATGATGTCTTCGGCAAGCACCTTGATGAACACTTCCACAAACCAATAACATTCTGACCTCTTGGTCGATGACTAGTACCTTGTTGACGTTAGTTAAAGAAAATAGCTGCTGTCCGCTACAGTCTGTGGGAAAACATTGGATGTTGTCCATCACTGGTCCAGTCTGTACAGATGCTTCCAATTCTAGGCTTGAATTAAATTGATAGAGCCAATTTGTGGCTCCGACGTATATTCTTCCAGTTTGTGGATCTATTGCCATATGAGTAAAATTGATTGTCTCGTTGTAAGTTGTATATGATGCATAGATGTCCGAGTCTTGATGTACAGCTTGACAAAGATATCCTGTCCAGATTATAAGGAGAAGATACATGATATATAGCCATAATCTATCAATATGAATCTTACACTTCCAATTTCTTCGGTTCGAAGAAACTTTGGATTTTGATTCCATTCTCTCCAATTTTGTCTTCAATGGGTTAACATGTTCATGCAATCTGTAAAATATTTATAAAAGTTATTATTATAAAAAGTTTATTTTTCCTAGAAGATTAACAACTTTAAGATAAATAGGGAGAATTAAATTTAAATTATGATGAGTCTTGTATAAATTAATGCATAACTGCTTGGATTAATATAATTTCAAAGTAGGTCTGTGAATATATTTTAAAAATGAAATATGAACAAGTTTTAATGAGACATTAAAACCTCATAGAAGTTTCATCCAAAAAAAAATGTTTAATCCTACCTATCGTATAATTTAAAACTACATTCATAAATCTTAGCATTTTAAGGAATACTTATATGTAGTAAAAACTAATATTTATGAATGCAGTTTTAAAAATAACTATTATATAAATGGAGTTATTTATTATAACTTAAAAATAAAAAGACTAAAATGAAAGTAATGGATGAAAAAGATTCTTACTAAAGACGTACGAATAATGAAAGAACATTTAAAGAAGTTCTAACTTGCTCATGATCATTATACGAAAGGAATTACATAAGCTATAACATTCAAATGGGCTACAGCTATTTAGAAGAAATGGGATTANTCTTTTGTTTGACATATTAATATGTATAAATAAGACAATTATTTCAATTATTATAAATTAAATCATTAATATAATTAATTATCGAAAGTATTTTGGCAAGAAATTCCTAATTTTTATATATACATACGTAATATATATAGCTTTATTTCCCCCATAACCTAGTTTGTTAATCATTGATATCTAACAATGTTGCGATGAAAATATTAAATTAATTATGACATAAAATCAGCGTTATGTAGAATGAATTATGAAGAGTTCTGGTTGATGATGTAATTTATCTAACGCCAAAACGGAAATTTAATTTCATTCTTAAATAATTGCGAGTTTCTGAACATTTTATTTATCTTGGGGATATTTTTTTTTGAAGAGATAAATTTGAATAACGCCCTTTGGTATGGGCGTAATTCAAATTTGTACGGTTTACTGAAATTATGAATTACTTCGGCAGAACCAGATTAAATTCTTAATTTTTTTCCCCCTTTTTTTCTGTTGTAGAAAATGCGCTTTTATTCACGCACCGGGATGATCTTTAATATAATTAAACGTGGTAAAGCTTGTTAATGCGTAAATTTTAAAATGGCGTAATTGTTTGTGGATTGCACGCAAGAAAAACTACGGTAAATGTAATTAAGCCTATAGGTATTTTCTGTATCAGAGTTGTAATTTTAAATGATTTAATGTGTGTAAATACCGTGATATTTTTTTCAGAATGGATTTTAAAATTATAATTTCTATTTAAATTATAAAAAATAATAATCGTTATCATTATATACGTTTTTCTTAACGACACAAAATTTATTTCGACATATAACCTGTAACGATTATTTTCGGTTGCTTTATATTTTAATTTAAGCATGATTTATTAAATAATTTAGCACAATGTTATTCTTAATTATATAGGCATATATTAAATTCTAATGATATATTTTGGTTAAATTTATTAATTAAATGATGGAACTGTTGAAAATATATAACATTTTCAGTGTAATTTGGTTAATAGAATAATTTTTAAAATATTAATTTATATGTCATTAATTTTTGCTTGATTAAAATTNTAAAAATAAAATAATGATAAAGAAAGAAAGACGAGTTTGTTCTATAACTTTACCGTTTCTATATTTGCACTAAGGTTAAAGATTGTTTGAAAATAATTTGGACAACGAATTATATTTGTTTAATGTCGAATTTGTTTTCATTCTATCTATAAAATTGTATTTAATCTGAATGATTAAAGTATTGCTACATAAGCTATTATATAGATGAAGTTTTTGTTTTTATCTTATAGCGTTTGTAGAAACATAAAATAGATTAAATTTCTCGGATAAAACGCGGAAAAAATATCTTTGTTTATATTAACAGAAAGTTCATTACATTGTCTTAATCTTTTTCAATTTACTTTATATGATTTCTATTTTTAACACGTTTACATTATAGTGGATTTTATCTTGGAGAATATTTTCAGTTAATGTGTACAAAGTTTCAGTTGCAAAGGATAAAAAATAATTTCTGCCAACGAAATTCTTCATTATTAATATTATTCGGGGATTATAATATATCAATAATATATTTTATATTAAATTTTATTAAGTATAAACAGTAAAATAAACAACGATTCTAATTGAAAGAACTTATTGATTAATTATAATTGAATGTTGAATTAATACAAATAATTTGCAAGGTTGTAATTTAAAAAAAAAATTCTTATATGCAATTTTTAATTAATTTACTTTTTTAATTAAAAAAAATAACCATTATCATTTATTCAAATAAATGTTATTTATAAAGAAGACATGGTAATTAAATAATTAGTTTAAACGTATTCCATTTAATTAGAAAATAATAAACTTTATCAATTTGCATTATTTGTATTTGTCAGTTTAAGAATTGTTTTCAAATATGTTTGATGTAGAAAAACCTCAAATAAATGAATTTTATTATCTGATCCACGTTGATTTCTAATAATTTCGAATATGAAGTATTAAATTAATTATCTTATCACATTCAAAGCAATATAAAGTACTAGAGAGAATTTATTATTTAACTGTAATAAATATTAAACAAATATTATATTAATTGTTTCAACGAGTATTTCATTTTCTTCATACAACATTCATTTCGCGCACAAAATAATTAAAATTTATTTAAATATTCTACTTGAAATGATAATTTTATTTATTAAAGCGATTAAAAATTTATTTGATTTTAATTATAAATGTCAAAATAACATTTATATATTTTATATATCATAAACTTTTTAGTTTTTCATTGATTTTTTTACATTAAATTCTATCTTTGTTGACCTATATTTTTTTTTTAAGAAATTCGAACCGAAACTATTTTATAAGAGTTATAATAAAAAAGAAAAAAAAAATGTTAGATGGAACTGTCATACGTTTGTAATTCTAGTTGAAAACTTACATTGAACCACTGTTAAATTTCACCCAAAACTGGAGTTCGATCGGATCTTTTTTTAGTGAAAGTTATCGTACTTCGAACGATCGAATCTTCAGTAAAGCGCTTGGACAGTACGAGTCGAAAAACGGTTAAAAATCCTTGCCATTTTTTTTAATATCCTAAATCTCTCTCCTCCAAAATCTACATAACTAGAAGATTCGATACATAAACATGATATCACGACCAAAATAGTGCAGGTGGTGCCATGTGCGACATTAGGCCTACTCTGTTTGACGTATTGCCTATATTATCACGCTCGGTTGCTTGGCAAGCAGATAATATTAAAGTTCCATGTTGCTTTTTTAACCATCTCACTATATTCTTAAACAAGATTCATTTTATATTCTTTGTGAAAACGAAAATCTAAGTATTCGCTTATTTATATAATTTATAATGGTTGAAGCTACAAATTTTTAGTTTCGTTACGGATCGAGCTTTTATTTAGTTTTTTTTTTTTTCTTTTCTTTTTTGCAATAAAGCAACCGTATAGCCTTGGGAATGTTTCGTTTTTCTTTTGTCTAATAAATCATATCATTGAATGTATTGTCGTCGTATTCGGGCACGTAATATATTATTTAAAAAGGTACAATATCGTAAAATTTAGCGAAAACAAAAAACCTAGAGAAGAAGAGAAAAGAATAATTCGAGATGATTAAATTTAAGAACTTCTGCCAAACGTTTCTTTCGTGTTTTTGCTCCCAGACCGCTCGTAAATTTGCCTTCGAGGGACAATAATATTGCAAAACGGTAACAATTAGAAAATTCGCGTAGCTAATCGAGCAACGCCGTCACCACCTATCGGACGACAATGGAACTATCCCAGCGGCATCGAATACTTCACCGGCGATAAATTAACGGACTGTGAACCATATCAACTCACAAACCGTTACTTTTATCGGCATTCTTTTCCCCCTTTGGGATTTTTCTTTCTATCCGTGTTTATTCAATGCGGAGAAACTTAATGTATGTTATCGCTTTTACTTTTTTTTTCTTTATATACAGTATATATATATACAGGCTTTTTTTGAGGTATCAGTTCTTAAAAACAAGTGGAAAGATCCTTTTCATTCCTATAATTTCCGTTTTTGCCCCCCTCAATCTCTGTATTTTTTCCCTTTTCCATTATATTGTTATGTGCGCTTTCTTTGTTAGATTTGTTTCGTGATATTTTATTGCAGTTTCCAAACTGTTGTGTGATAACTCATTGAAGTAATTATATCTTTTATTATTTATTCTGAATAAAGAACAGAAGAAAAGAATAAAAATAAAATAATGATAAAGAAAGAAAGACGAGAAATAAAAATACAAAAATTAGAGTTCAGGTTTTTTTACAGATATATATATATATTTTTTTACTAGCGATGATTGATAAGCGTTTCTTATTAACGTGGTTTCAAAGGAGATCGGGTTAGCGGAATGAGCGTTTAACAACACTTTTTTCCTTCTCTCACTAGTTTAAAAGTAATGAAAAGTGGCAAGAATAGAAAGAACTGTGAAGAGATAATAAATAACTCTCGACTTAGTCGTTTTAGCCAGGTGGTACTGTCTGAAGAGAAAGACCAAAGGATATGGAATATGACAGCAAACACGATGTCTGTGACGCGACGCCAAGCTCAATTAGAACATCAAGAGCAATCGAAGTTCGCTTGAAATTCTACTCTCGCGACTCATCGCGACTAACGACGCTCCTGTTCGCAATTCTCGGTTCGAAATGAAAAAAAGAAGGGGAAAAAATCAATCTAGGAATTTCTTTCGGTTCCTCGTCTCTCGTCGATTTATCAAACGAATCCGAAACAGTTTGATGAGGCCAAAAATAAAAATCATTAATTCGAAAATTAAATTTTTTTTATGAAAAGAAAAAAATTAATCGTTTTACGCTTAATTAATTTATTTCTTATAATTTTATTAAGAAAAATTATATTTCTTCGTTTATTTATTTTTATATGGAATATACGATAGAGTTTATTTATGTTGTTTTCGAATTTATAAGATTATATATATTTATGCATTTGTGCGAACTTGTGTACATAAACACACAAATAAACACATACGTATGTATGTATGTACAGTAACCTATATGTTATATATATATATATATAAAAGTCTATATTTGATATATTTTATCTGAAAGATAAATAACAAACTAAAATTGAAATTTTTCTTGTTGAAAGTCGATCCTGGGCCACTTTATCTATTATTGAAAGGTCAATGCTTCCAAGCTTTAGAATTCAAAGCTATTTTCAACTTAAGCCAGTTTCTTTTCGAAAGATTTAAAGATTGTGTTTGGTTTTTAATTTTATGTTATTGGTTGATCTATTTTTTTGGCACGGTGATACAAAAACAATATATTTTTTTAATTAAAAAAAATAACCATTATCATTTATTCAAATAAATGTTATTTATAAAGAAGACATGGTAATTAAATAATTAGTTTAAACGTATTCCATTTAATTAGAAAATAATAAACTTTATCAATTTGCATTATTTGTATTTGTCAGTTTAAGAATTGTTTTCAAATATGTTTGATGTAGAAAAACCTCAAATAAATGAATTTTATTATCTGATCCACGTTGATTTCTAATAATTTCGAATATGAAGTATTAAATTAATTATCTTATCACATTCAAAGCAATATAAAGTACTAGAGAGAATTTATTATTTAACTGTAATAAATATTAAACAAATATTATATTAATTGTTNTTTTTGTTTTTTAGAAATTTTGTTAGGAATTTTTCAAAATAATCTATAGCTCGTGAATAAAGAGAGTGTATAGATCCTCGAGGGATAATAACGTTCGTTTTAAAAGTACCTATATTTAAGAAATTCAAGAGGATAGTAATAAAAATTACTGGATTAGAGAAAATTCATGAGTGAAGAAAAAACAAAGAACAATGGCTGGTAATAACTGAAATTAGTCTAGAAGTGATGCAACAAGGCAACACCCAAACTTGCTAAATTATGAGGTAGTCAAAGTGCATTTTATTTTATTCTTATCAATACGCTATTAAAATACAATGAAGATGATGAACAAAAGAAGACAAAAGGAAAAAATAACACGGAAGAGAACACAAAAGACGAGAGATAAGTAGATCTAGTTGATGACGGGTTTTTCCACAACAGGATTAATTCACGGCGGGATAAGGTTTTTGTTGCAGCTTAGTTGATCTTTTTATGAACTGATGGAATATTTAAATATATCGATGCTGCTCTTTTGGATTGTATAAAGTTCACTTACTTTGTTTATAATCCATTTAATTGTTTTAAAGTTTATTTCTGAATCGAAAGATTTTCAGATTTTTCATAACCCGTCTATTGATCATAAATATGAATAAAAATCCCAGTTATATTATTATAAGAAATATTTTTTTTTACTTTATTTTATCTAAGATTATTGTGCTATAGTGAAATAGTAAGCAATTATTAACTAAATTCATTGAATATTAGTAAGAACTAAAATTCAAGAGAGTTAAAAAAAAAGAAAAATAAATTTTGAGATTCAGTAGGTGTAAAGACTATTTAAGTCTATAAAATTGTAGTAGTAAGTTTAACGTGATTTATTTAAAAGATAATAAATCTCAGAGGAATCTGTATTTTTTAAAGAGCTTTATAAATAAACTTCTTATTCCTGACCAAACTAATAAGTATTCGTTTCGAAGAATCGGCTCTAAAAATGAAAATATATTGTGAAAAAACATAATCTATGCAAACAAAATGTCTTACATATTTCATGTTTGTGAAACGAATCTTAGAATCGATCATACATTCTTCAGGTATAGTGCATGCTTTGAATGCCAAAGCTATATGGAAGTCAAACAAAGGATTATCGAACTGTCAGCAAACCACAAACAAGGATTTTAAAAAAAGGTACACAGCAATTTGAATGCGAAAAACGTTTGATGCTGAAATACCTATATGTCTGCATCTGAAGAATATTTTCTTTTTTTGAAAACTTGTATAGATATTCGATTATTTCTTTTAATTCTAGATTCTTCTGTATGATTTTATATAATCTCTTTACTTAAGTATTTTTATAGTTAAAATATCAAATATAAATTTTTCAAAAAAATATACGTTATCGAAATCGAAATAAAAAATTGTTGTAAATATTACTATTTAGTGAATAAACGTAATTAAAATGAAGTTAATATTTTTCTTTTTTAAATACTTACTCCAGGTTCGGGACATTGATTGATTCCACCGGCTATGTAATCCATATCTCGAGTTAGAACACTGCCATTGTAGCACATGTGGATGTTTTCAGTGAATCTTTGTTCTACTTCAGCTACAGCATAAACACACATGGCAGAATTAGGAGACGTACGATATGTATGATCTTTACTGACAGCAAATACACCAACGAGAACATCGACTCCTGGTTCTATATGTAAATCAGCAGCAAGATCGGCCCCGGCACGCACCAAACTAGCATCTTGCAACAGATTATAGTCTGTTCCATCAGATCCTAGGCACTGCAAGGTCACTTCAGTATAAGTGTTGTAACCCGCATCTGATATACAAACTCTCGACAAACGGGTAATGTAACCCCATTCCTCCAAAGCTCTCAGATGTGATTTACGTTGAGTTGTTGCAAAGTATATAAAATCACCAGAGCTAAAGCCATAGACATAATGCACCAGATAGTAATCACGTAGATGAAAGCTTATATCAACTCGAGCGATTGAAGAGAAAGATTTCTCTACCACTGTAAAAAGACGAGCCGGATCAAGACTTCGACTGCAAATTGCTGGGACCATATCACGATATGGTCCTAAACGACTATTGGTAGTAGCCACGTATAGAACTCTCGATGGATATCCGGCGTATCGAGCAGGTCCTATGAAGGCAAATGTTGAGGAATTTTCATCGTTGGATGATACAGGAACGGGCACTAGGTCCTCGTAATTCGAAATATCTTCGAGATGATGTCTTCGGCAAGCACCTTGATGAACACTTCCACAAACCAATAACATTCTGACCTCTTGGTCGATGACTAGTACCTTGTTGACGTTAGTTAAAGAAAATAGCTGCTGTCCGCTACAGTCTGTGGGAAAACATTGGATGTTGTCCATCACTGGTCCAGTCTGTACAGATGCTTCCAATTCTAGGCTTGAATTAAATTGATAGAGCCAATTTGTGGCTCCGACGTATATTCTTCCAGTTTGTGGATCTATTGCCATATGAGTAAAATTGATTGTCTCGTTGTAAGTTGTATATGATGCATAGATGTCCGAGTCTTGATGTACAGCTTGACAAAGATATCCTGTCCAGATTATAAGGAGAAGATACATGATATATAGCCATAATCTATCAATATGAATCTTACACTTCCAATTTCTTCGGTTCGAAGAAACTTTGGATTTTGATTCCATTCTCTCCAATTTTGTCTTCAATGGGTTAACATGTTCATGCAATCTGTAAAATATTTATAAAAGTTATTATTATAAAAAGTTTATTTTTCCTAGAAGATTAACAACTTTAAGATAAATAGGGAGAATTAAATTTAAATTATGATGAGTCTTGTATAAATTAATGCATAACTGCTTGGATTAATATAATTTCAAAGTAGGTCTGTGAATATATTTTAAAAATGAAATATGAACAAGTTTTAATGAGACATTAAAACCTCATAGAAGTTTCATCCAAAAAAAAAAATGTTTAATCCTACCTATCGTATAATTTAAAACTACATTCATAAATCTTAGCATTTTAAGGAATACTTATATGTAGTAAAAACTAATATTTATGAATGCAGTTTTAAAAATAACTATTATATAAATGGAGTTATTTATTATAACTTAAAAATAAAAAGACTAAAATGAAAGTAATGGATGAAAAAGATTCTTACTAAAGACGTACGAATAATGAAAGAACATTTAAAGAAGTTCTAACTTGCTCATGATCATTATACGAAAGGAATTACATAAGCTATAACATTCAAATGGGCTACAGCTATTTAGAAGAAATGGGATTATGTTATAAACAGAATTTTCTAGAAACATGCTATTCGACCGTCATATTATTCTATACCGGGTAAGCGAGAGAAGAGAAAGACATGCCATCCGAATATTTCCATTAAATTGAAACAGTCTGGCGATTATACTAGACATCATCAAATAAAGTACAAAAGAAAATAAATTCTTCTTTAGTATGAGGTAAAAATCTAAAGAAATGGCTTTTGCATCCATTAACAATAAATATAAACGCCTCAACTATCACCACTTTAACAGATTAGCAAATTGGTTTTTCTATTCTTTTACAAAATTTCCTAGGCTTTCTAACAAATTATTTGCCATAGAATTTCCAATGACAAACCATTATTCCAAGCATAGTTTCTTGAATGCTCTTCATCGCACATTTCATGTTTGTTTACTTTGACAGTTATATGACTTGGAGAGAATCTAAGTATTGGTAGTTTTCGGTGTAACATTTCTTGTAAGTCTCCAAACTCCAACTCAACTGGAGAAAGACACTATCCACTTTCTTACATTGGTATTCAAATAGACAACCTAAGAAAATATCGCAGTGAAGAGAGAGAGAGAGAACACGAGGGGGTCAGAGGAGAGGGTAGAGACAAAATGATTTCAATAATGTGTTGGGCTGTCTCATTTTCTCCCAGAATACCCATTTATATGTTAATTTATACAACGGTGAGCCTCCATGATTCACGATAGCATACAAGACAGATGACATACGAGATAGCGGCCTCTTTTCTACCCCTTGCTTTAGTAAGTGCGTATGCAAACATGTATATGCAAATCACAGGATTGATATCATTAGTACTAAAAGAAAGCAACGCTAGGAATTGGCAACGATATAATGGGAGCATTTGAAGTAGGTGAGGACTGTTAAATTAAATACGATACCATAAAATCGTCTATAGATCTTTGAGAATTTTAATATGCCAGCTGGTGATTTATTAGTCAAATTTTTAATTTAAAAAATGCAGAGGAACTTAAATAGCTAATAACATATTCTGTAATACATGTAGATCCCCAAACCAATTATGAATGATCCAAAATTTTCTTTTTTAGATTAAACGCAAAGAAGACAAATGTTCTTTTCATGGAATATATTGGGGGGAAAAATCCTTTATTTTTCTCATTCGCATATTTTTTCAGCACTTAATAAATTGCACTCGAGACTAAAAATGCTAATAAACACAAATATTCTAATTTTTAGCATGTTATAGTGAGTAAAGCATCAACTTTAATTAAAATCTGGAAATACGAAAATCTTGACAAATTTTAGATTTTCTATAGATTTTCTTTTCACCATTTCATATAGAACTACTATGCTGTAAAAATTTATAAGGCAGGATTTAATTCGGATTTAACAATTTTTACAGCAAATAAAATAGAACAGTAATAATACATATCATTAAACATTCTCTTAAAAATCTGCACGTTTTCCTCCGATCATCAAACTTTGCACTTGATTGTACCATTGCAATTCCTGCCGTTAGATGCTTCAGCAGCACGTTTGGCAACAGTAATGGTTGCGAGCAGGCGCCATGAGGATGGAGAGCAATGACGCGTGTCCTGTGCACAGCGAATGTGTAGATGGAAGGGAAACTGTAATAAAATCACCAGTGTAAGATACCTATAGGTTGAATAGACGAAGAAAGATAGAAGCAAAGTGCGAACGACATAATGTCTTGGCACAAGTGAATAGAAGTTTATAAGCCAACCAATAGGAATATTATTAAACCACCGTCTTATCGCTCTGCCCAAGGCTGTGACAGTTTTACTATATAAAAGAAGGAGAATATTATAGAATGGCTGCGTTTTTGAAAGACATGTGGCTGCTTTTAAAACAGGGAGCTTTAGAAAGATTTTTCGAGCGTGTGGCTTCGGGACATATGCCTGCATACAGCAGGAGATTGCCTGTCCGTCTGGAAAACACACTTATAGAATGTAGTTTCCTCCCTTAGCTTGTCCTATTATACATGTGTGTCTGGTTGGAAAGCAATCTGAAACTACACAGAGGTAAGCTGGTTAAGAGGGATGGACAGGAATACGAAGAAGATACAATTTAATTTCACACCCCAAAATATTTAACATGATCGCAGACTATACAGATTATCATTAATAGTCCTTATATAGTTGATAAAAAAAAGCTTTCAATGTAATATAGGATTTGATAAAGGTGAATATTTTCTTCATACATTTTAAACAGAATAATGCAATTTTAAGAATAAGTGATTTGCGAGAGTATTTGAAAAAAATCAAATAAAATTCACGAAAGTTGAATCGATAATATAACTGAGTTTTAATCAGTGAATAACGATGTGAACATTTGTAATATCGATTTTGAAAGAGAACGTAAAAAGTCGTCGTATGTTACATAATTTATAGAGATTTTCAGAAAATTTTAAATGACAACTTAGGTGTTATCATCTGATGGAAAAACTTATTTCTTATATTATTAGCTAGTGAAATAGCCTATATTAATTTTATGCTAAAATAGGAAAAATAAAAAATCATTTCATTCTCTAGATCAGTGTTTCTCAACGGGGGCGATATCGCCCCCATGTGGGCGTTTTTCCATGTTGAGGGGGCGATTAGTAACAATTTATATTTTGAGGGCGATATAGTAAAACATTATATTAAGAATAATTAGATATTTTATTCGTTATAACGTACAATAATTAAACAAATAACATTATATTAGTCACTAGTCTATTCAATGCAGTACGAATTTGGCGTTAGCCTTAGCCCTCGGCATCGGAATTTATAGTAAAGGGGGCGATACTACGTAATGGTTTTATTGAAGGGGGCGACGATTCGTTAGAGGTTGAGAAACACTGCTCTAGATCAACAACTGATGGAATATGTTCGCATTAAACTTCATCTCTAATAATAAGTTATATTGCATATGTATTAAACAAATTATCAATTATAAATAATCAATTTAATTTGACTCTTATAAAATCAAAAATATTTTGCTCTGCGTTTTTAAATTTTCATCATCGAACGCTTCTTTCTCAACAATTTATATAAATATTATAAAAGTTTGTAGCAAAAAGGCTTTAAAATATTTTTTTAAATGCTCGACATATACTGTATATACATATGTTAAAAATATTTTAAAATATGTATAAAATATTTGTACAGTACATATACATGGAAAAACGAACTTTAACAATATACAGTATATATATAT